ACCAGCATTTCTGTCTAGCCCTAGTTTAAATCTACTACTACAGCTGTGTTAATAGCCCTTGCTAACATGCTAGACCCTGCCTTATTTAAGTTTAAACCATCCATTCCAAAAAGATTAACTTTCCCATTAAAATTATCCCACGAATTCAACCAGCCTATTTTCTCATCTCATGATCTAAGCCTGGCATTCAATCCTAGTGACCTACTTAGTATCTCATTCCCACAATTTATTCTTGGCAATATCCCTGACAAAATCAAGCTATGATCCCTTTCCTTAAATACCCTTATCAATGTTTTATACTTATCAATAAACTCCTCAGATCCATCTTTCCTTACATCATTAGCCCCAACATGTACCACAAAAACTGCATTGCTACTAACACCCTTAACTATCTCTCTCTGCCAGAACTATTTTCATGATTTCCTAATAATTATCACCATGCCTTGTAAAACTTTAATTTTCTGGATAATAACATGGGTTGGATTAGTTTTCATCCAAAGAGTTGTCCAATGGGTAAATCAGTATTTTCAGCTGGATGCTGGCAGAGTTCGCTTGAGTTTAAGGAGTTAAAATTAGATTTCAATGACAATTCATAAAGTTTGATTTAACCTGTACATCACATCATGCAAAACACTCAATATTTATGTGTGAAAGGAAAACACTGAATTATTGTTGTTGTTGTTGTTTGTATGTTTTTCATTTGAACAATACTTTCAATAAAATAGAAATATATCTAGGGTTTCAGAGATACTATGAGTTTAGTTTTTGAATTATCTTTTGCTATTATTGGGATTTAGTACTTTGACTGCATTAGATTTGAGCTTAATTGCATATATTATACTAGAACTTGAACAAGTTTGTACACATTTATATTTAATTTGGATTTATTATTTGTTTTATTTGTTTTCTGATACTTTCTCTAAGTATTCACTGGACAAATCTCCTGAAAAGTAGATTAACATAAACAAGTACAACTTAGGCTAAAAAAATAATAATTATTTGAGGATCTAAACATCAAATTATTTTGGGGAGATGTGTTTGTGGATATTTGCTTTAACTAGCATGTGAACTTTATTTATTAGACCAGAATTCAGAGAGTGATCTTGGTTTTACTTCCACTGCAATACAGAATCGGCTGGAGAAGAACTCAACATACTTTGTATCAGGTACTAAAAGTATTTTTCTTACATAAAACTCAAATGTTATGAACATTTTAAACCTTTTTATTTATAATAGAGATAGTTTGTGGCCCAAAAAACAATTGATAAGAATTTTAAATATACAGAACAACCTTTGGGATGGAGATAGCTTCTATAAAAAATTTTCACAGGACAACATTTTAGAAACATGTTGAAAGGGCAATATTATAGAAACACATTTACAAAACAATGTTGTAGAAACATGTTCACAGGACAACATTACAGAAACGCATTCACGGGACTGTTATAGAAACATGTTCAATGGACAACATTATAGAAAATGTTTACAGGAACATGTTCATAGGACAATATTATAGAAACATATTGACAAGACAGTGTTATAGAAACATATTGAAAAGACAGTGTTATAGAAACATGTTCACAGAATAATGTCATAGAAACATATTCACAAGACAGTGTTATAGAAACAAGTTCACAGAACACCACTTTATGAAATAGAGAAGTTCACAGAACACCATTGTATAAGATACAGAAGTTCACAGAACACCCATTTATGAAATAGAGAAGTTCACAGAACACCACTTTATGAAATAGAGAAGTTCACAGAACACCAATGTATGAAATACAGAAATTCACAGGACATCAGTTTAAATGACAAGTTTACAGAAAAGTTTACATTACACAACTGTATAACCTTCATCGTGACTAAGTATAACAGAGAATAATGAATGAAAAATGTACTGTACAATGATATGAATAACTGAGACTTGAAAAGGCAGATGATGATTGAAAATTTAAACATTTAGTTTAAAAATTAGAAGTAACAGACTAGTTAACAACATAATCAAGCCCAAATTTATTGTAACATAATATACTTGAAAACTGTTAAGTATGTTTGACACCTTGTGTAAACTGAAATTTTCCACAAATCACAAGCAATTGGTTCTCCTCTCGCAACAAAAAGTAGATAAAGGAATACAGATTACTTGTGCTTGTTTTAGAATGAACAGACATATATTAAAATGTAATATTAATTTTTATTGTTCTGATCTTGTCTTAAAATCAATGGTGGGTATTGGTCATTTAATTCAACCATCTACACAGTAACTTTTTATTTTTTATAAATTTTGTGTGCTGAATTATGACATGATGAGTTACATTTAATTAGCAATAAAACATCTGCGTGTGGAAAAGTATTATCTAGATAAGGTTCACAATTTTTCCAAAAGAACCAGATATAAAGTGATCAAAATGTTATCCCTCCACTTTGTGATCAGTCTCTGTCACTACTTTTTGTGTTCATTGGTACAAAACGTATTTGATTAGAATAGATCCATCTATCTTCTACCAGCTGTGAAACATGGGTTGATACCAAAATCGCAAAACTATCTGCAGCCCATGTTCCCAAGCCTTTCTTTAATGTTTATGTGCTTATGGTCTGTTTTGCATTAATTAATGCGAACAGATGTTCTTCAAAAATAACAAATTATGCTTATATTTATGTCTTAACGTAAGTGATTAGATATCTTTATTACTGTAATCTTAAGAAGGTGTGTTTTAGAAGTAATGTAGTTGATTATCCCTGTTCTGTTCACAGCAAGAGTATTTCAGGTTTACTTGATTGTTCCTGTTCTATTCACAGCAGGAGTATTTTAGGTATAATTGATTACCCCTGTTCTCTTCACAGCAGGAATATTTCAGGTGTAGTTGATTATCCCTGTTCTATTTACAGCAGGAGTATTTCAGGTGTAGTTGATTATCCCTATTCTATTCACAGCAGGAGTATTTCAGGTGTAGTTGATTATCCCTATTCCATTCACAACAGGAATATTTCAGTTGTAGTTGATTATCCCTGTTCTATTCACAGCAGGAATATTTCAGGTGTAGTTGATTATCCCTATTCCATTCACAAAAGGAATATTTCAGGTGTAGTTGATTATCCCTATTCCATTCACAAAAGGAATATTTTAGGTGTAGTTGACCTGTTCTTTTCACAGCAGGAGTATTTCAGATGTAGTTGATTATCCCTGTTCTGTTTACAACAGGAGTATTTCAGGTGTAGTAGATTATCTCTGTTCTATTTACTGCAGCAATATTTCAGGTGTAGTTGATTATTCCTGTTCTATTCACAGCAGGAGTATTTTAGGTTTAGTTGATTATCCCTGTTTTACTTACATCAGGAATATTTCGTATGTAGTTAATTATTCTGTTCTATTTACAGCAGCAATATTTCAGGTGTAGTTGATTATTCCTGTTCTATTCACAGCAGGAGTATTTTAGGTTTAGTTGATTATCCCTGTTTTACTTACATCAGGAATATTTCGTATGTAGTTAATTATTCAGTTCTATTTACAGACTTGTCAAACTGTTCTTTTTTCTTCTCTAAGTAAGATTTTTTCTCGAAGTAATACATCTCATATTTTATTGTTTCCCAAACATGATTCATTCATAAGTGGTAGTACAATTCATGTTTTATAGTTTGAACAGTATTTGTTTAAACATATAAACATTATAGTGTAGAATCTAGTTGCTTACACAAAGATGCCCACTGATAAATATTTCATGAAAGTTCCAAAAAGTGCAACATAGAAGTATGTTTTTCATCTTAAAAAACTGGCTGTTAGAGCCTTTTTTGACTAAGACCTTAAATGATGGTTTTTCTTGGATATTCTTGTTTTGACAAAGGTTATTTTTGTTTACATATTTAACCTACTCATTAGACATGTCACAACTATTTAGATATGAACAGAATTCCTAATATCTTCTCTGTAGAAGAGCAAGATCTGTTGAAGGAGTCGGCCAAAGGTACTGGAAATGGAAGTCTTCAGGATATTGATATGTCACAATTTCAAGGTGAATTACCTCATGCTTAGGAAGTTTAGATTAGTATACAAATTGTGCAATTCCAGTATTAGTTCTTTGTATTCATTATTTTCAATTGCAACCAGTTAAGTTTTTAGATTTTGATCTTAATGTTTTTTATTTATTGTTATAATAATGCTGAACCCAGCAATAAAATAGTTATATGTATCTAGCACTGAGATGAAGGCAATAAAAACACCATCAAGACAATATTCTTCGTTAGGAATATCATAGTGCTTATTTTTGAGTGTTTTTTTTTATCCTGACTCAATATTGTACACTCTGATAATCATTCCTTCCAATATCTATTGTTTGATTACTGTAGTAATTGGGGATTAGAAATACAAATATTTTGTAAACTGTGAGTGCTTTGAGGTTTCAGTAAAACTAGTTTCTCGTCAAAAATTATATAAATTAGTATATAAATTTTTTTGTGTAGTATTATCTTTGTAGTTTTCAAATATTTTCCACTTCTGTTCCATCATACATATTTTTTACTGTAGTGTTTTTATTTTTGGATAGGAGTGAACATTTTAATGTTTATACAAAATTATAATGTCAAATAAAGACCATTTGGAAACTTTTCTCAAGTGTGAAGCGTAACATGTTAATTAACATAAAATAAGATTTAATATAAATTGCTACTATCTCTTATAATAAGTACACTGTTCTTTTGAAGTGTGTATGTTTTTCATGTAAAGATATTGTGTTTAAGTTTAGTATGTCTTTTACAATAGCCATGATGGAAAGTATGAAGTCAATTGACCCAACAAACCAGGAAAAACTAGCCGACCTAGCTTCATCGATCAATACTTTACTGGGACAAGCCTGTCTTGGGTCAGTTGGCCCTTTCAACTCTGCTTCATCTTATCCAGGAATTATACCCATCTCTGTGTCTGGTCTAGAAAATTACCATTTCTCGCCGAGTCAGGGTTAGTTCTTCATAACTAGTTAGTAATTAGAATCTAGTAATTAAAAACATAAATTAGTAACTGCTAGATAATTAGACTTAGGTGATTGTATCGACCACTAACCATAATGATGATGGACATATGATTACTGGGCCCACCAAGAGGACAGGGAACTTTTCAAAGATCTCACTGCCTCAAAGGAAGCCCTGGAGAAGGCAGGAGGGAAATTGATTGATAGGGAGGGTCCACATATAAGCCCTTCTCCAGGGCCTATAAAAGTTCTTTGTAGCCCTGCTGATTACCACAAACTTATTGTAAATACTAAAATCCTTGTTACTAAATTTCATCAGTCTAATATGGCCACACAATATATCCTTTATTTCAATATTTATGAATGTATGTTATTTGTCACGCATTGAACAAATTTAAGCAATGAATAATACAGGAGTATTTTTGTCATAATCACATACAAATAATAAAAAAGTCAACATTGAAACAGCAAAGATGTGTGCTACCAAATAAATACATTAAACTAGTAATTAACAAAATGTCATTATACATCAGATTAAAGCCAATGGTATTGTCTATTATTTCTCACTTAAGTTATCTATTAGATAAGATTATAAGTATTGTAATTAATCATGAACTTCAAAATCTAAACATATTGTAAAAGAAAGCATTATTAATACAAAACTATAAAGACATGAAATTTGGAAGAATTTACATGTATATTTGATAAATCCTACTTGTAGGTAAATGTATGATATTTGTACCGTAAAGAAATTCTTAAAGCTAGTCAAAATACAATTAAATGAATATCATATTAACATGTTATAACAATCCAAGTAGCTGAATATCATATTAACATGTTATAACAATCCAAGTAGCTGAATATCATATTAGTGTCTTATAACAATGCAAGGAACTGAATATCATACTAGTGTCTTATAACAATGCAAGGAACTGGATATCATATTAGTGTGTTACAACAATACAAGTAACTGAATATCATATTAGTGTCTTATAACAATACAAGTAATTGAATATTATATTAACATGTTATAACAATCCAAGAAGCTGAATATCATATTAGTGTGTTATAACAATGCAAGTAACTGAATATCATATTAGTGTGTTATAACAATCCAAATAGCTGAATGTCATATTAACATGTTACAACAATCCAAGTAGCTGAATATCATATTATCATGTTACAACAATCCAAGTAGCTGAATATCATATTAACATGTGATAACAATCCAAGTAGCTGAATGTCATATTAACATGTTATAACAATCCAAGTAGCTGAATATCATATTAACATGTTATAACAATCCAAGTAGCTGAATGTCATATTAACATGTTATAACAATCCAAGTAGCTGAATACTATATTAGTGTGTTACAGCAATACAATTAACTGAATATCATATTAATGTGTTATAACAATCCAAGTAACTGAATATTATATTAATGTTTTATAACAATGCAAGTAACTGAATATCATATTAGTGTGTTATAACAATCCAAATAGCTGAATGTCATATTAGTGTGTTATAACAATGCTAGGAACTGAATATCATATTATCATGTTACAACAATCCAAGTAGCTGAATATCATATTAGTGTCTTATAACAATACAAGTAACTGAATATCATATTATTGTGTTATAACAATGCAAGTAACTGAATGTCATATTAGTGTATTATAACAATACAAGTAATTGAATATCATATTAACATGTTATAACAATCGAAGTAGCTGAATATCATATTAGTGTCTTATAACAATGCAAGGAACTGAATATCATATTAGTGCCTTATAACAATACAATTAACTGAATATCATATTAATGTGTTATAACAATCCAAGTAGCTGAATATTATATTAATGTTTTATAACAATACAAGTAACTGAATATCATATTAATGTTTTATAACAATACAAGTAACTGAATATCATTAGTGTGTTATAACAATGCAAGGAACTGAATGTCATATTAGTGTCTTATAACAATACAAATAACTGAATATCATATTAGTGTATTATAACAATACAAGTAATTGAATATCATATTAACATGTTATAACGATCGAAGTAGCTGAATATCATATTAACATGTGATAACAATCCAAGTAGCTGAATGTCATATTAACATGTTATAACAATCCAAGAAGCTGAATATCATATTAGTGTCTTATAACAATGCAAGGAACTGAATATCATATTAGTGTCTTATAACAATACAAGTAACTGAATATCATATTATTGTGTTATAACAATGCAAGTAACTGAATATCATATTAGTGTATTATGACAATACAAGTAATTGAATATCATATTAACATGTTATAACAATCCAAGTAGCTGAATATCATATTAGTGTCTTATAACAATGCAAGGAACTGAATATCATATTAGTGTCTTATAACAATCCAAGTAGCTGAATATTATATTAATGTTTTATAACAATCTAAGTTCCTGAATATCATATTAGTGTTTTATAACAATGGAAGGAACTGAATATCATATTAACATGTTATAACAATCCAAGTAGCTGAATATCATATTAACATGTTATAACAATCCAAGTAGCTGAATATCATATTAGTGTCTTATAACAACGCAAGTAGCTGAATATCATATTAGTGTTTTATAACAATGCAAAGAACTCAATATCATATTGACATGTTATAGCAATCCAAGTAGCTGAATATTATATTAGTGTTTTATAGCAATAAAATTAACTGAATATCATATTAATGTGTTATAACAATACAAGTAGCTGAATATTATATTAATGTCTTATAACAATGCAAGAAACTGAATATCATATTAACATATTATGACAATACAAGTAGTTGAATATTATATTTGTGTGTTATAGCAATCCAAGTAGCTGAATATCATATTAATGTTTTATAACAATGCAAGTAACTGAATATCATATTAGTGTGTTATAACAATGCAAGTAACTGAATATCATATTAACATGTTGTAATAATTAGATGGACCACACAATATCTTGACTTGGTTGGTTCAATAATCATTTGCGTTAACTGTATAAATTTTCAATTCTTTCTTGAATTAAGAACCATCTATCTCGGTAGACTAAAATGTATTTGCAATTTGTTTGTTTTTGAATCATATTCTACTAAAACATTACTTTATATAAAAAAATTTGATACGTCTCTGGACTTGAATAGTTAGCATTCATAAAATCAAATGTTGGTAATGCCAAGTTTAATTCATGTATTTAGGATATGTTTAATGCTTTTATTTCAAAACGAAACCTTTGTTTATTTGTTCCTGTAACTTAGCTATCAATGTAATTTGTTTTTGGTGAAAATGTTGCATAGCTGTATTTCACAAAGTTCTTTACAGTGTGTTTTCAGCATTAATGTTAAAGCTATATATAATTTCCAACAAACAATGATAGATTTTTGTGTAACTGTTTTTATTATTTATAGCAAAAAAATCATAATTAATCTTTTTCCAGAAGCTAATGAAGTAGAAATTTAGCTTTTTTTAGCACTTTTATGGGTAAAATTAAACCAATCATTATTGAAAAATTATTCTTAATACAAATAGGCAAAACTTAGATCAAGATCACTAGTGATTATGCTAGAGCATTCTATGTGCAACAAAACTGAAGAATATTAATAGTATCATTTTCAGTTTATTTATTGATTATTATTTTATTACAGCTTTTAACGTAAAGAAGATTTGGTACGACGTTTCGATCACTGGTGCGATAATTTATTTGGGTACTTGAGAATGATCACACCAATAATCGAAATGTTGTTCCTATTCTAAAAACAAATCTTCCTTATTGTAAAAGATACAACGTGTAATAAAATAAAAACTGAAGAATACTTTCTGAAGTTAAAGGTTACTATTTCTTCCACTAAGGTATTTTTGGCGTATAAATTTTTTTTTCTTCAATAGTATGTATAACATGCTATTTTGTAGTTTGCAGGTTACTTCAAGAAATTACGTGTATTCTTCCTTTCAGTATTTGAATGATCACATCATTATTTATTATGTAACCTATACTAATGGCCAGGTAGTTAAGGAGCTCGACTCGCAGTCTGCGGGTCGCGGGTTCGAGTCCCAGTCCCACCAAACATGCTCACCCTTTCAGCTGTGGGCGCGTTATAATGTGACGGTTAATCCCACTATTCGTTGGTAAAAGAGTAGCCCTAGAGTTGGCAGTGGGTGGTGATGACTAGCTGCCTTCCCTCTAGTCTTACACTCCTAAATTAGGGACGGCTAACGCAGATAACCCTCGTGTAGCTTTGCACGAAATTCAAAACAAACAAACCTATACTAATAGTAAGGCAGACTTCTTTATCCATGGTTTATATGAAAACTTTTTTTTTATCTTTCATCTTAATTTCTACAGTGTTTTAAAACACCCTCTGGTTTAAAGGTTATACCACTAGAGATTGTATAATGAAGATGTCTTGCATGTATTGTGGTATAACTCACTATTACAGAACCTTTTCTTTCCCTCTTGAATGAATTTTATTTTTATCATAAATTCTTTTGGTTCTATTTATTTTGTGTTCAAAACATAAATATATTTAAATTTGTATGCTGATTTCTATTTTAGCTGGTATTTTGCCTGTGAATTTTTTGTATCTAGGGTGTATTAGTCGTTATCTACAGTGTAAATTCTGTCTACTTTATTTTTTTCAATAATGAGTATTGTATCAAATATTTTCTATATTATATGAACCTGTATTTTCAGCCTCTAGTTGTCTTCAGTCTGTAAGGACTTACCCTCATATGAAAGATGTTAACAGTCCAGCAGGGACATTTTCCTCAGAAAACAGTAATCTCTCTTATGGATCATATTCAGAGGTAATATCAAGTTTAATAATCTGATATTTTGGGAAAATAATGTTTGAGTTAAACATCAAGGTAAGACCAAAGTTGAGTAACTTCATGGATCAACAGTTTCAATCAGTTCTGAAGAAAGCTAACAAGTTTTATGCTTAAATTAGACTCTTGATAGCTTTCTTAAAGGGGTAAAAAAATATATAAATAAACTTAGAACAAGGTAGAAGTTGATTTAAGTTAAGCAGTCCTAAATGTATTTTCAGCATAATTTAATGCCAGTGTAACTTGATGCTGGTATTCTGTAGTGATCAATATAATCTTAGTTGTAACTTGATGCTGGTATTCTGTAATGATCATTATAACCTTGGTTGTAACTTGATGCTGGTATTCTGTAGTGATCAGTATAATCTTAGTTGTAACTTGATGCTGGTATTCTGTAATGATCACTATAACCTTGGTTGTAACTTGATGCTGGTATTCTGTAGTGATCAGTATAATCTTAATTGTAACTTGGGTGAGGGCTATGATATTAGTAAAATAGGAAATATAACTGACAGGAAAACATGTACAACAGGCATAAAATATAAATGTATTTTAAAATATATAATTAATTGTTACTTTGTAATGCTAGGAGTATTAGAAATAAAATTGATGAATTCAAAGCAGTTGTGGAAACTGAGGATTTTGATATTATGGGTATCACTGAGACTTGGTTGGATTTGAACAATTTTGATATGAGAAACTTTCTTGAAATACCAGGCTACAGATTATTTACTGGAGATAGAGAATTGAAAAAAGGGGAGGAGGGAATTGCATCCTGTTGAGTTATAATTTGGGTTAGTGTTAGTGGATATAAAGGGAAAAGTATTGTAATTGGGATTTGTTATATTTGTAAGTTGTGCTCTAGTCAAGACAGTTTTATTTTCCTAACAAAGAGCTTGGCTTATGGATTGAGTTGCAATCAGAAATAATGGAGACCAGCACTTTATTTTAAGAAGGGAGTTGATGATTTCCTGAAAAATAAAGAGTGGATTTAAATTTTTACTTTTCCCAAGAATGAGTGTGCAACGAAAGTCTTCAAAAGGTAAAATATCCCTTTATTGTTCTTATGATATTACATTACCTTTAATAGACTACTGGTATTTAGTATTTATTCCCAGGCTACAAATACAATGGTTAAGACTAGTGTAGGAGATAAGCATTTGTTAGGTGTGATGGGTGCAATGAATGGGTTTTATTTGGGAACTTGGAACTGGGATGTACTTTTAAGGAAGCTAGCAGTGAAGATATGCAATTTGTTTGTAGAGTTTGCAGGTTGGAGGAGAAGTCAGAGACAATCTTAATTATAGTGGAGACAATAGATAAAGAGAAGTATAAACTGTGGAAAATGGCAGCAGGATTTCAAGAGGAGCTTAAGCTTTTACATGCAAGGGAAACATCAGCTAACAATGACTTTCAGGAAGATAGAAACAGTACTATTTGGGCTAAAATTAGTAAAGTAGTGGATTTAATTGTAATGAGCATGTTCTGTTGAGCAATAGATTTCAGCCCTTGGCTTGTGCATATGATGAACTATTAGAGGGAAGGAAAACAAAAGGGAAAAAGAAGGATGTGAATGATAAACTTAAGGAGGTTATGGTTATAGGTGATTCTTTGACAAGGCATGTGGACAGGATAGCCTGTGGGGTAAATAGAGAGAAAATAATTAGATTATGTTACTCAGTGGCACAGGTAGAGAACATAACTGACAGAACAAGAGATATATAATGAAGAGGGCTAAGCAATGATGCAGTTTTTGTTATGCATGTAGGGAGTAACGTTAAAAGGAACGGTAGGCCAGGAGAGCTAATTGATAAGTATAAGGGGTTGACAAAGGCATTTAAAGAAAAAGGGCCATAACTTACTCTGTCAGGTATACTGCAGAATTAATTATGGGGATGAAATTATAAGTAGGTCAATAGGGCTGAATGCTAGACTTAGGTTAATATGCAAGGATGAGCAGATTGGTTGGTTGGACTTGTGGTATCAGTGTAATGGAAGAAGGGAGGTTTTTGGAATGAATGGTTTATATTTAAATAGGGTAGGGGCTGGCTTGTTTGCAAGGGCTATTAACTCAGCTGTAAGGGAAGTTTTACACTAAGAGTAGACAGTAGTGAGGGCCAGGGTAAACTAAATGCAAAAAACTGAAGATGGAGATAAAAGTTTAGCATAGGAAATGAGTATAAAAGAGTTTTTAAGGGTAGGCTTAGATGTTAGTATTGTAATGCTAGAAGTATAAGAAATAAAATAGATGACTTTAGAGCACTGGTAGGAATGGATGATTTTGATATAATGGAAATAACTGAAACATGGTTAAACATACATGATTTTGATGACAGACATTTCATTGAAATACAGGGTTACATGCTATTTAATAAATATAGAGTATTAAAGAGTGGGAGAGGAGTGGCTTCATGTATAAAATGTGAGTTACATCCTGTTGAAGTTGAGGATATCAAAGATAATAAATAGCAAGGAGATTGAATTCATTTGGGTTTCTATTAGTGAATATAACAGGAAAAGGCTTTTAGTGAAAATTTGTTACAGACCACCAAATGATG